CAACAGTATAACATCACTATGAGCGGGAAGTCAGAACGTACGTGATGGTCCTTAACAACAACAGTATAACATCACTATGAGCGGGAAGTCAGAACCTACTTGATGGTCCTTAACAACAACAGTATAACATCACTATGAGTGGGAATTCAGAACCTACTTGATGGTCCTTAACAACAACAACAGTAGAACATCACTATGAGTGGGAAGTCAGAACCTACTTGATGGTCCTTAACAACAACAACAGTAGAACATCACTATGAGTGGGAAGTCAGAACCTGCTTTATGGTCCTTAACGACAACAACAACAACAGTAGAACATCACTATGAGCGGGAAGTCAGAACGTACGTGATGGTCCTTAACAACAACAACAACAGTATAACATCACTATGAGCTGGAAGTCAGAACCTACTTTATGGTCCTTAACAACGACAACAACAACAACAGTATAACACCACCTATCCCACATCTTCCCTGTGTTTCTTGGGTCCGTTTCTCCTCCTTCTCCAACCCTTCTGAATTTTGTCTTTTGGTAAATTCTGCACTTTTGATCTCTAATGGTTGGCCATTCTGTGGTGTTGCTGTCCCTCCTATATGCCTATATATCATCTTTATTGTTGTTGTTGTGAAGTGCCACCGAGTCGGTTCCAACCCATAGCGACCCTGTATAGGGTTTCCGAGGAGCAGCTGGTGAGCTTAAGCCACCGACCTTGCAGTTCAAACTGCTTTGCAGTCTGGTGCATTAACCCACTACTTGGCTGAAACTTGTGCTACAGGTCTGCGTTCAGTCCCAGACCTAAAGGATGATGAAGGTCAGTCTCGGGTTCCACCAGTCTCTATCTGACCTGGAAGCTTTGTCTTTTTTTCTTAATTTTGAATTTAGTTTCCTATTTTCGCCACTCTATCTCAGACCTAATTTGATCCCTTTTTGAGCACTTGGTTGCGGTAGACAGACACCATCTAGCTTTTCTGGTCTCAGCATCACGGAGACTGATGTTCACGTGGGCTTTTTAGTCCATTGGACTTGTTGTTTCCAAGCAACTTGAATTTTCATCCCGCTTCTTTCCTCCGGACAGGGAGAGAGCAATAGTTGCATCTTAGATGGATGCTCCTGCGCTTTTACGATCCCAGGCACTTCTCACCAGAGTAGGAGGTACAGCATTATCTTTGTGGATTATGTTTTGTCAGTTGTGCCTGGACCCTGTGGTCCTGAGCCCCCAAACTCAGCCAGTCACTCTCTCAAGGTGTTTTGTAATGTCTAAGAAGTTTTCATAACTGTATGGTCTTCCACATTCATGGATCTGTTTTCATCAAAGGTAAATGCCCACATATTAGCATTCTCTGTCAAATGTTACATATTCATGGGTGTACTCTCCTTCCCACACCCACTTAGTCTTCATGTCTATCCATGTGGCTACCCATAGATCACTGCTATTGCAGGATTATGCACATAATGGTATTTATCTCTGTTGCCTTCATCAGTCTCTGTCCTCCTCCTGCCTTCCCCATCACCCAAGTTAACACAAGTCTACCCTTTAGCCAATGATTTTACTGTCCACATCTTCCCACCCCTGGTAACCATGAAAGAATCTTCCTTTTAGTGTGAAAACCTTTTCTTGACTTTTGACGGTAGTGTTCTCATACAATATTTGTCCTTTTGTGATTGGCTGATTTCACATAGCTTAACGTACTCCAGGGATTTCACAGATTCATTACTATTCTTTAACGTTAAGGAGAATACTAAAGGTGCCATGGACTGCCAAAAGAACCAATAGATCTGTTTTGGAAGAAGTACAACCAGAGTGCTCCTTGGAGGCCAAGATGGCTAAGCTTCATCTCTCATACTTTGGACATATTGTCAGGAGGGAACAATCGCTGGAGAAAGATGTCATGCTGGGTAAGATGGAGGGTTAGAGAAAAATAGGAAGACCCCCAACAAGATGGATCGGCCAGGTGGCATCATTGATGGCATCAAGTGTGGCAGCGATAGTGAGGTTGGCCCAGGATCGGACATTGTTTCCTTCTGCTGTGCATGGGGTCGCTATGAGTCGGTTCTGACTCGATGGCACCTGACAACCACAACAACAAGTATTCCATTGTGTGTACATACCAACTCATAGTGATCTTATGCACAGAAAAAAACTAAATACTGCCTGCTCCTGAACTAACTACACAATCAGTACATTTGAGCTCATTGTCACTGCCACTGTGCCAGCCCATCTCACTGACTGTCCACTTTCCCAAGCATGATGCCCTACACCAGGGACTGGCCCCTCCTGATATATGAGAGACGAAATCTGGTCATCCTGGCTTCTAAGGAGCTTTCTGGCTTTACTCCTTCCAACACACATTGCTTTGTTCTTTCGGCAATCGATGGTACTTTTAATTGTCTCCTACAACACAACTCAAATGCATCAATTCTTCTATAGTCTTCCTTATTCACTGTCCAACTTTCACATGCATATGAGGTTATTGAAAGTAGTATTGCTTGGGTCAGGTACACTGTAGTCCTCAAACTGACATCTTTGCTCTTGTTCATTTTAAGGAAGTCTTGTGTAGCAGATTTGCCTAATGCCATATGTTGTTTGATTACTTGACTGATGTTTCCATGAGCATTGATGGTTGATCTGAGCAAAAATGAAGTCTTTGACAACTTCAATTTTTTTTCCTCTATTTATATGGATGTTGTTTATTGGCCCCAGTGGTGAGGATTTTTGTTTTTGTTTTTCATATTGAGCTGCAAACATTAGCAAAGGCTGTGGTCTTTGATCTTTATCAGTAAATATTTTATGTTCTCTTCACTTTCAGTAAGCAACGTTGTATCATCTGCATTATCAAAGGTTGTTAATGAATCTTCCTTCAAACCTGATATCACATTTTTCTTCATATAATTCAGCTTCTCAGATTATGTGCTCAGCAAACAGACCGAATAAGTATGGTGAAAGAATACAACCCTGGCAAACACCTTTCCTAATTTTAAACCACCCACAATATGGCAGAGTGACAGAAGAGAGGTGGCATGTCCTTTATTTGTTGTTGTTAGGTACCATTGAGTCGGTACTGACTCATAGCGACCCTAGGTACAACAGAACAAAACACTGCCTGGTCCTGGGCCAACCCCACAATTGTTGCCACGCTTGAGCCCATTGATGTTGCCACTTTGCCAATCCATCTCGCTGGGGGTCTTCCTCTTTTTCTCTGACCCTCCACCTTACCAAACATGATACCTTCTCCAGCGACTGGTCCCTCCTGACAATATGTCCGAAGTATGAGAGATGAAGTTTGGCCATCCTGGCTTCCAAGGAGCACTCTGGCTGCACTTCTTCCAACACACGTTTGTTCTTTTCTATATATGTACACGTAATTCCACCATTCTTCTGTCAGTTTGTTGTACTGTGGTGGCTTGTGTGTTGCTGTGATTCTGGAAGCTATGACACAGGTATTTTCAATATCAGCAGGGTCACCCACAGTGGACAAGTTTCAGATGAGCTTCCAGATGAAGACATACTAGAAAGAAGGAGAATCGGACTAGTTCTGAATATTTAGTCACTGGAAACCTTATGAATAGCAGTGAAACACTGTCAGATATAGTGCTGGAAAATGAGCCCCACAGGTTGGAAGGCACTCAAAATGCAACTGGGGAAGAGCTGCCTTCTCAAAATAGAGTTGATCGTGGTGCCACAAATTGAGTAAATCCCTTGGGACCTTCATTTGCTGATGGGGCACAACTCAAAATGAAGAAAAGCAGCTGTAAACATCCATTAATAATTGGAACAAATGAAAACTCAGATCAAAGACCATAACCTACAGTATGGATTGCATCTCAATGTAAAGAAAACAAAAATCCTCACCACTGGACCAATAAACAACATTCTTATCAATGGAGAAAAGATTGAAGTTGTCAAGGACTTCATTCTTCTTCGATCAACCATAAACACTCATGGAAGCAGCAGTCAAGAAATCAAACGACGTATTGCATTAGGCAAATCTGCTGCACAAGACCTTTTGAAAGTGTTGAAGAGCAAAGATGTCACCTTGAGGTCTAAGGTGTGCCTGACCCAAGCCATGGTATTTTCAATAACCTCATATGCATGTGAAAGCTGGACAAGGAATAAGGAAGACCATAGAAGAATTGATGCTTTTGAGTTATGGTGTTGGAGGAGAATACTGAAAGTGCCATGGGCTGCCAAAAGAACCAACAGATCTGTGTTGGAAGAAGTGCAGCCAGAGTGCTCCTTGGAGGTCAGGGTGGCCAGACTTCATCTCTCATACTTTGGACATATTGTCAGGAGGGACCAGTCGCTGGAGAAAGACATCATGTTTGGTAAGGTGGAGGGTCAGAGAAAAAGAACAAGACCCCCAGTGAGATGGACTGGCCAAGTGGCAGCACTGATGGACTCAAGCGTGGCAACGATAGTGAGGTTGGCCCAGGATCGGGCAGTGTTTCATTCTTCTGTGCATAAGGTCACTATGAGTCGGTACTGACTCGATGGCACCTAACAACAACAACAATAGAATTTTCCATTTTGACCCCCTATCAAAATGTTCTGTAGGGTTTTCTTGACTCTCTTCTTTATGGAAGCAGATCAAGACAATGGGTTAACAGGTCAGCGTAAACCATTTGCACCACCCAAAGACAACTGTACTCATTTGTTGTTGTTGTTATGTGCCGTAGAGTCGGTTCCGACTCATAGCGAGGCTGTAGATCTCTACGGGAGCAGAACACCTCCTCTTTCTCCCGCAGAACAGCTGGTAGTTTCAAACTGCTGACCTTACGGTTCACAGCCTGATTCATAACCACTATGCTACCAGAGCTCCTTTACTCATTAGAGTTCCAAAAAATGTTCCTTGAATGAGTGAATCTGGTTTCCATCTTGTGAATTCCAGAATGCTCTTTCAATTCCTGCAGCAGGAGGATGTATTTAGTCCACTGCCAGTGGTGCTGTGGGTTAATGCACTGGAATGCAAGGTCGGTTTGAGCCACAAGGTTGGCAGTTCAAGTTCCCCAGATGCTCCTCGGAAACCCTATGCAATGTGAATGTGAGTCAGAACCGACTCAATGGCACTTAACAATAATGAGTGCTTGTAAACATGAACTTGGCCATGACTTTGATCCAAATGGATATCTTTCTCTTCCTTCCCCAATGCAGCTGCTGCACCTGCCCTGCTTCCCTTCACCCTCAACTTCACCATCACCAACCTGCGCTACACAGATGACATGGGACACCCAGGCTCCTCCAAGTTCAACGTCACTGAGAGGATCCTGCAGCACCTGGTGAGGGCCCCATGATGACCACCTGGTGACCCCACCTCGTACCTGCCCACACAATCACCCAGGCTCTTGTCCCTCCTGCTCACCCCCTTCTCTTTCCCCACCAGCTTGGGCCCTTATTCAATAAGACCAGTGTTGGTCCCCTCTACTCTGGCTGCACACTGACTTCACTCAGGTGAGTCACCTGACAGTACAGCTATTTGTGGTACAAGTGTTGCCAGACCCAAGTCATTTGTTTGGTTTCCTTCTTACCCTGCTGGATATAGCATCCTCAGGAGAGTTGGAATTCAGGAGGTGCTTGCTCCAGGGTGAAGGCATCTTCTGGTCTCCACTCCCACCTCCAGACTCTGGAGAGCTCACCAACTGACTGGCCCCTCTGAGATATCCTTGGGATGTTGAATTCTGTCCCCAGGGATTCTCTCCAGATAAATGTGCCTTAACCTCTCACTTTAACCCCATAGCCTGCTCTTTGCCTATCTCAACCACTTCCTATTCTACCCCTAAAGAATCTGGGGTATACTATTCATTGTCATCCACCCCCCATCCTCCATCCACAGGCCCAGAAAGGATGGGGAAGCCACCAGAGTGGACATCATCTGCACACATCGCCCTGACCCTGAGAGCCCCAGTCTGGACAGAGAATGGCTTTATTGGGAGCTGAACAAGCTGACTGATGGTGTTACACAATTGGGCCCCTACATTCTGGACAATAACAGTCTCTATGTCAATGGTGAGAGGCTCTGCTGCCGTGGGAGCCGCTTCTCTATTGCTGAGCGAGTCCTGCTAGGGCAAGTCTCTGCCTTAAGCTCAGGCTTCCATCTGGGTCTCTCCTGTTGGAGAGCTTTGAGTAAGGCCTCTGTCTCTCCTTGGCTACACAGGAGACTCTGTGACCTTTGATCCCTGCCAGGTGGGGGCCTGTCTTCCTTGTAAGATATCACAGATGTCATGGGTCAGCCACCATCTCTCCTGTGACAAGCTGGCTCCTTATTAAATCTCCCCCTTCCTCTTCTTCCCTGTCTGCAGATTATACCCACGGGGCATCAGCCACAAACAGTGAGTATTATGGACTCCAATTTTCTTATGTTCCTGGGACCATTCCACATCTCCTAAACAACAGCAGTTGGTGGGCCTGCCAACTTCTCCACCCACTACTTACCATCAGGAAGGAAAAGGGTCCAGAGGACATACATAGAATGTGGACTTGTTGCCTTCCTTTGGGGTTCTGTTTCCAGGCTAAGAGGGTCGTAGAAAGAGCTATACATTCCCATAACTTAGCACCCCCACCCCCACCACCCACTGCCAGTTCCTTAGAGCTACTCCCCTTGGATTTCACTCCTGGTGTTTCTTCTCCAGCAGGTGTGACCTCCACATCCTTCCCAGCATCCTCTCTGGTACCTCCCTTCACCACCAAGCCCACAGGTAGGAAAGACTGCAGGCTCTTATTAATAACAGAAGCATTTCTCCATTCTTACTTGCACAAATCATTTCTTCCTTCATTGTTCACTCAGTCTCCCTGAGAGAGTGTATCCATTTATGTGGATTCTATGGACCACCTATCATCTTGGTGCCCAAATCTACACCCCACCGTGACTCCCGACCCCCTTTTCCACCCACTTGATAAAACATCACTGAGGCCACTTGGTCTCAACATGTCCACCCTAAAGTTATATGCTGCACTGCCTGCTCTTTCACTCATCACCAAAGCAGAGGCCGGCCTGCCAACCTTGAGCCCTCCCCTCACCAATTCCTCATCTCCTACATCCATCTATCGACAAATATTACCTCTTCTCCCTCCTGACTATCTCCCAAGTTCTTTGTCTGTGTCTGCTTCAACTCTGCCTTCAGTCAGGCCACCAGCCTCTTTTGCTAGGGTGACTGCAGTAGCCACTATTATACCTGTGTTGTTGTTGTTGTTGTGAAGTGCCATCAAGTCGATTCGGACCCGTGGCAACCCTGTATAGGGTTTTCAAGGAGCAGCTGGTAAGCTTGAACCACCAACCTTGCAGTTCAAACGACTATGTAGTCTGACTCATTAGCCCACAGCGCCACACCAGCACCAAACTCACGTCATTGATTCAACTCCGACTCGTAGCCACCCTGTAAGAGAGTTTTGAACTGCTCCGCATGATTTCCAGAGCTGTAAATCTTCATGGAAGCAGAGGGTCTCATCTTTTTCCTGCAGTGTGACTGGTGGGTTCAAGCGGCCTATGTTTAATTCACTGCAGCATGGGCACTCCTTAGTGTCTGTGTATGTCCATGTGATTCCAGTCTTCTTGACAATCTTTGAATACCTCCACCTGGTCTCAACCTCGGTTCTGTTAGTCATGCCTAACCTTCCAGGCTCATGTCTACACATCCATGTAGTGACAATGAAACGACTTCAAGCTCTTCTGTATAGTTTTTAGGCCCTAAAACCAGGCCTTTGCTCAGGTGATTCCTCCTGACTGGAGAACTTTTTCCAGTTATCAGTTACCGTTAACCTAACTCTTACCCAGCCTTTTGGCCAAACCTGAAACGATGCTTCCTTTTTGAAACTTTCCTGATTGCATGGGTTTTGTGTACTTTCTTGACACATATGCTTCCTGGTTTCTCCTGTAATGTAAATGTCTCGTCTCTTTCTTGGCCATGATACTGAGTAATCCATGATACTTAGTAATCTGGTGCTGCTATAGCAGAGATGCCACAAATCAATAGCTTTAGAGAACAGAAGTGTATGTATGTTGTCAGCATTTCAGAGGCTACATGCACTGCCTTGGGGAAAGGTCCTGTCTCTGTCAGATCTTAGTGCAGATTCTTGTCTCTTTCTGCTTCTGTCCCCAACATTCTTTGGTTCCCTAAGAATCTATACATGGCATCTGTCTTCCCTTGTTCACGCTTGTCCTTCTGTGTCTTATCTGTTGTTTTAATAATTCAAAAATAATTAGGTTTAGAACACACCCTGCATTGATATAACCTTATTAACATGACAAAGAAAAGCCTGTTCCCACACTGACTGGATTTCATGCATAGTTGATACAAGTTAGGATTCCAACACATATTTGGGGGCGGGGACACAATTCAATCCATAGCATATTCATCTATGAACCCAAAGAGACCTCACAGAGCTTTGCATCCAATCCAAAACCAAATGTCAAACCTGTTGCCGTCAAGTGGATTCTGACTCATAGTGACCCCAAGTGTTACAGAGTAGACAAGTGCTGCATAGGGGGGTTCTTGGCTATAAGATTTAAGGAATCAGATCACCAGGGTGGGTTCAAGTGGTCAACCTTTAGGTGGGTTATTGTTGTTGTTAAGTGCCATCAAATCGGTTCTGACCCATAGCAACCCTGTATAGGGTTTCCGAGGAGCAGCTGGTGAGATTGAATCGCTGACCTTGCAGTTCAGATGGCTTTGCAGTCTGGCGCATTAACCCACAGCGCCACCCCAGGACTTCCTCATTGTAAACCGCCCGTTGTTGTTAAGTGCCACCGAGTCAGTTCTGGCTCACAGCGATGCTACATAGGGTTTCCAAGGAGTGGCTGGTGAATTTAAACCGCTGACCTTGCTGTGCAAACAGACATTGGGGTCCAGTGTTTATCCTAGAGCGTCACACCCGCACCCCTTTAACCACCCATGTGTCGTTGTTGCTAAGTGCTGTCAAGTTGGTTCCAACTCATAGTGACCCTGTAGAGGGTTTCCAAAGAATGGCTGGTGGCTTTGTGATTCGTAGTCCAGTGCTGATCTGACAGCACCACAACAGCAGTCATTTGTTGTTGTTGTTAGGTGCCATCAAGTTGATACCAACTCATAGCGACCCTATACACAACAGAACGAAACACTGCCTGATCCTGGGCCAACCTCACAATTGTTGCCACACTTGAGCCCATTTATGCTGCCACTTTGCCAATCCACCTCATTGGGGGTCTTCCTCTTTTTTTCTGACCCTCCACCTTACCAAACATGATATTCTTCTCCAGTGACTGGTCCATCCTGACAATATGTCCAAAATATGAGAGATGACGTTTGGCCATCCTGGCCTCCAAGGAGCACTCTGGCTGCACATTTTCCAACACAGATCTGTTGGTTCTTTTGGCAGCCCGTGGCACTTTCAATATTCTCCGTCAACACCAGAACTCAAGAGCATCAATTCTTTTACAATATTCCTTATTCACTGTCCAACTTTCACATGCATATGAGGTTATTGAAAATACCATGACTTGCATCAGGCACACCTTAGTCCTCAAGCCAACATCTTTGCTCTTCAACATTTTAAAAAGGTCTTGTGCAGCAGATTTGCCCAGTGCAATATGTCATTTGATTTCTTGACTGCTGCTTCCATGAGTATTGATGGTTGATCCAAGAAGAATGAAGTCCTTGACAACTTCAATCTTTTCTCCGTTGATAAGAATGTCGATACATGCATTGTTGTTGTTGTTAAGAGCTGTTGAGTCGGTTCCAACTCATAGCAACCCTGTATAGGGTTTCCTAGGAATGAGTGGTGAGTTTGAACCACCTATCTTATGGTTCAAACCAACCTTGCAGTCCTGTGCTTATCCTACAACACCACACCAGAAGTCCAAATAGGGGTCATTAAGTGTTTTTTGGTGAATGAGTCAGGGTTCCCAAATCTTCTGAATTCCAGAATGCTCCCTTATTCAAACCTGGAGCCAGTAGTTGTATTGACTCTACTGTTAGTCCTTATGGCCAGATTCCAGGCAAATGTGACTATTACTATGGATGTCTTCAAGGAGCTCTGGTAGCATAGTGGTTACGAATCGGGCTGCTAACCTCAGGGTCAGCAGTTCAAAACTACTAGCTGCTCCGCGGGAGAAAGATGAGGTGTTCTGCTCCTGTAAAGATTTAGAGCCTCAGAAACCCTGTACAGAGTCACTATGAGTCAGAACCGACTCCACGGCACATGACCACCAGCAACCACCATGGATGTCTTCAAGTCCTGGTGAGGCGCTGTGGGTTAATATTGCTGGACTACTAACTGTGAAGTCAGTGGTTCAGACCCACCAGCCATTCCTTGGAAACCCTATACAGGGTCACTATGAGTTGGAACTGACTCGACAGCACTTAACAATAATAGCGTGGACATCTTTCTCTTCCCCAATGCAGCTGCTGAACCTGCCCGGATTCCCTTCACCCTCAACTTCACCATCACCAACCTGCGCTTCATGGATGACATGGGACGCCCAGGCTCCTCCAAGTTCAACTTCACTGAGAAGATCCTGCAGCGCCTGGTGAGGGCCCCACAGTGACCACCTGGTGGCCCCACCTTGTATCTGCCCATGTAGCCACTCACCTCCTGCTCATGTCCTCCCCTTTGTTCACCAGCTTGGGCCCTTGTTCAATAAGACCAGCATTGGCCCCCTCTACTCTGGCTGCATACTGACCTCACTCAGGTGAGACCCCTGGATGGAGAAATTCAGCACGTTGGGTGGACCTTCATTCAGAGAACCCCATTTCTGTGACTGTCAACTTCATGACCTCTTCATGACCAGATAACTAGCTCAAGCTTTAGAGGCAAGGCACCATGTTTACAGTTTATGGCCTGCCGATGGTATTGCATTATGCATGGGAACTCTCCTTGGAGAAGACAGCCTGTCTCCATGCTCACTGTCCCAGTAGTGACCATGTTTCTCAGGTGAGAAACATCTAGGGGATCCCCTTTCAGATTCAGAGTTAGTTGCTTCAGTATCTCTCCCTCAGACTCTTCCCTTCCATTCTTTTCCTCTCCACACCTGGAACGTTCTCATCTCCTTCTTGGTATGTCCCCATTCTGTTTTCTGCAGGGCTGAGCAGGGCAAAGCCACCACTGGAGTGGATGCAGTCTGCACCTACTACTCTGACCCCGAGGGTCTTGGGTTAGACAGAGAGCAGCTCTACTGGGAGCTGAGCCAGTTGACCCATGGCGTCAATCGACTGGACTACTACAGTCTAGATCGGAACAGTCTTTATGTCAATGGTAAGGTGCTATGCCACAGCTGGGGTCTGTCTCCTGGTTGATGTCTTGTGTTTCCAAAGCTGTGAGGAAGGCCTCAATCTCCTCAGAGTGAGCATTAGTCTGCCTTTCCCCCCGTCCTGAGTCTGGTTTCATATTCACTGTGGTGAATCAAAGCCCTAATGGGGTTAAGGACTGGGTCACATCACTGCATTCTCGTACACTGGATACCTCTTTCCTGACCTTGCCGCCATTGTTTCCTCCCTCTGCTTCTCTTGAAGAAGTTCCTAATACTCTCTTTCCTTTAGCCTTTGAAGTTTTCAAGGTTCATCCATGGTGTAACAGGTGTACGCTTAAGTCAAAAAGTATTACTATAATAGTTCCAGTTCATACATGCAGATTTTTTTTAAGTGTTTAAAAATGTCTCTGCCTTCAGTGAATGGCTATAGACCAGTTCTCTGAGTTTCATTAGAGTTCCCTAAAAAAAAAAAAAAAAAAAAAAAACAATCAAAACATGGCTCCTGAGGGGATTTGCTGGGTCAGTTAAATTCAAAGCAGAGAGATCAGCTCAGTATGCTATGGTGACTATTTTGGGGGATTCCAAAGAAGTCGTCTTGATAGAGTTTTCGTGGGAGGTTATTAGGAAGAAGTTTTAAGAAAATTAAAAGCTGCATTGGTCATTCTTCAAGAGTAGCAAGGGCTGTTCCCGTAAGAATTTTGTTGGGAAACCTTATCCCATCCACCCTACAATCTTGCCCCTTGAGATTTCTTTTTGTTCCCCAAACTCAACGAACATTTCAAAGGAGCATGATTTGAGTCCCTCAAGGGTGCCCAAACTTCTGTTTTTATGTCCATCCAAGAGCTCAGAAATCTTCAGGGAAGGATTGCGAGATGGAAAGTTCACCTTCAGAAGTGTATAGACATAGATGTAGGGTTAGGGTGAGAAACAGCACCTTCATATTTAAATGTTTTTATTTAATAAAGGTTTCGGTGATTTTGTAGGAATTGCTTTTGACTTACCCTTGCCTCAGCACTTCCGCCCATGCATTCATGCATTCCTTTATGCATTCACACCACATTTTGTTTATCTATTCATCTGTTGATGACATTTATCCTGGCTCTTAGTAATAGTGCTACAATGAATATTGAGGTGATTCTTATCCCTGATCTATTCCCGAATCTCTTGGTCTTTTCTCTCTGCAGGTTACACCTATGACGCCTCAGCCACCAGTGAGTATTCGTAACACTGATTTCCTGGGTCCTGTCCCCACTTTGATAGGAAATCTGGTTCTCCTTTGCTTCCTACACTTAGTGAAGGAAATATCTGGGAATTCCTCTAAAAAGTCACCTCCTTCTCCTGGCTTCTTGAGGAGATTCCTGGTCCAGGGTGAAGAGGGTTTAGACACAGATGTAATGCGGCCCTCACGTGGTTTTAATTTTAATCCTAGAAACTTGCCCAGCTATTCTCTGTTCTTATCCTATTACTTTTCATCTTTCTTTGTCTTTTCATCTTTCATGTTGGGTTTTTTTTTCTTATTGTAGTAAAACAATAGACAACATTGGTCAGTTCAACAATGTTCACGTGTACAGTTCAGTGACCTTGATTGCATTCATTAAGTTGGGCAACCAGAACCAGGATCCTTTCCAAGTTAGTTCACCATTATTATCAGAAACTCAGTGCCCCTAAGCAATAGCTCTCCTTCCTCTCCTCCCTCTCACTCCTAGTAACCACTATTAAGCTTTGGAGTCTATATATTTGTCTATTTCATATGAATGCTGTTGTACTCCTAGTACCCTTGTCTAGGGTTTCCAAGGAGTGGCTGATGGATTTGACCTTGAGGTTAGCAGTCCAGTGTTTATCCTACACCACCACCATACCAGGACTCCATATGAGTGGGACCAGATAATATTTATCCTTGTGTGACTAACTTATTTTGCTTAGCATAATGTTTGCCAGGTTCATCCATGTTGTATACTTTATTTCTTTTTATTACTGCATGATCCATTGTAAATGATAGACAGGGTGTTTCCAGTGTTTAGCTAATTGATGGACAACTAGGGTATTTCCAGGGTTTAGCTGTAGAGTCCTGATGTGGAGCTGTGGGTAAATGTGTTGAACTGCAAAGATGGTTCAAACCATATGGTTGGTGATTCAAGCTCACCAAACCTTGTACAGGATCGCTCTGAGTTGGAACCGATTCAATGGCACTTAACAACAAGTGTCTAGCTATTATGAATATTGCTGAAATGAACATTGATAGCCTTCTATTCATACCTCTGTTTGTTGTTGTGAGACTTTCTTAATATTACTTTTCCACCTGTGGTTGAGTTTTCAGCTAACATTTATTGAAACCAATGACCTTCCAGACACCATGTTAGGAGAGTTACAAACACTAACTTTTTAATCCTCACCTTAACCACGTGATTTAGCTCCATTTAACAGATGAGAAAACTCAGGTTCAGAAAGACTAAGTCTCCTTCTAAGGCCACATTGCAAATAAATAACAGAACCAGAATTTCATACAGTCCAACTCGTTGTCTAATTCTCTAAAAGGCATGCCAGTTTGGGGAATATGCTTCTTCGGTTGTTGTTGTTAAGTTTCATCGAGTCAGTTCCAACTCATTGCAATCCCGTACAGGGTTCTCAAGGAGTGGTTGGTAGGTTTGAACCACTGACCTTGTAGTTAGCAGTCCTATGCTTATCTTACAATGCCACAAGTTCTGCAGTTCCAACCCACCAGCCACTCCTTGAAAACCCTGTACAGGGTCGCTATGAGATGGAACCAATTCACCAGCACTTAACACTCTTGCAGTGATGTTCAAGGGTCACACTCCCTTTGCATTCTTAGAAAGCCCTGTGATGATCACCATGTTCATTGTCAAGAATTGATGGCCCTTGAATTAGGACTGTGTTTTGTCTCAGCCCTGTCAAAGCCTCCTTAGTCTCTTACATCTTATCCTCCATTGCTCTCTCACACCACAGCAGAAGTCGGGCCCTCTGAGGTGTGATAACAATAATCACTTGCCAAGTGATAGGGGAAAATCACCCAATACCAGCTCCATGAGAACATATGTTTTGTTTATCACTGTCTCTCCAGCCATCCTAACAGTGCCTGCAACATTATGTGGGGAAGGAAGGAACTATGGATCTGTGGGTGGCTGAAATGAGGGGGAAATGAATGGAAGAAAGAATGAAGGGAGAGAAAGAAAAAAAAAGGGGTGGATGGCTGAAAGAAGAAAGAAGGGAAAGATAGATGGTGGATAGAAGGAAGGAAGGCAGAAAAGAGGAAGAAAGAAGAAAGATTAAGAGGTCCAAATGATTAATAATAGAATATCAGAAATGGACAATACACTGAAAGGGCAAAGGAGTAGAACTGAAGAGACAGAAGCCAGAACTAGTGAGCTAAACAGTACTAAAATAGAAGAGCAAACACAAAAAAGGACAAAAAAAATCTGAAGAAGGCCTAAGATTCATGTTGGATAACATGAAGAGAAATAATATAAGAATTATTGGTATTCTGGAACAGGAACAATCACACAAGTCCACAGAGGAGATAGTTGAAGAGCTTCTGGAAGAAGAAAAACCAGTGGCTAAGATAGGTGGGTGCATGGAAGAGAAACTGGAAGGAAGAAAGAAAGAAGAAAAGAGGGTTGGAAGGATGGACAAGAGGGTACATGGAAGGAAGAGTGGAAATAAGGAAGGAATGATGGGAAGAAGGAAGGAAAGAGAGATGGATGAGAGGAATAGGAAGGGATGGGAAGAAGCACAAACAGAAGGAAAGACTGATAGATGGAAGAAAAGAAAGATCCAAAGAAGGAAGAAAGGGTGAAAGGAGTGAAGGAAAGACAGACAAAAAGATGCCTGGAAGGAGAACTGAATGAAAGAAAGAAAAGAGGAAGGAGGGAGGGAGAGGAGGTGGGCAGGGGTTGAGTTTTTCTTAAACATTTAACCCTGACCCCAGTATCTCTTCTAGATCAAGTTAGATGGATCTGGTCTCCCCTGCAGCATGTTTCACTTTTGCTACCCCTATGGGCTCTGCATAGTCACTCCACTATTGTGTAGTGTGCCAGCTACACAGCTCTGAGGTCCCTGGGGTTGGCAAATCTGGGTCCAAACTCAGATGCACCCTGCCTCCAGTCCTGTGACCCTGGACAGGCAACCATTGCTGGGCTTTGTTCGACGCGGATACTTCTAGTACTCAGCTTCTGTGTATATCCATGTAAAAAATATACTTCCAATGTGCTCGCTAACTTATTGTGCATAAAACACACATAACGCTTCACTCTGTACCTGGTACTGCTCTAAGCGTTGAAGTGCAGAGAGTTTGGTGTGGATGTTAAGGTTTTCCTGCTGCAGTTGTTGTCAGTGTCATTACTAACAAATGTGTGCTGTTGTTGTTATGTGCCTGTTGTTGTCAGTGTCATTACTAACGAATGTGTGCTGTTGTTGTTATGTGCCATAACGTCATAACATCCCTGTGTATGGCTTCCGAAAGTGGCTACTGGTAGGTTTATACTGCAGCCTTGAGGTTAGCAGTCCAGTGCTTATCCTACAGCACCATACCAGGACTAGTAGAAGATTGTTATGCCTGACTGTAAATGCAGGGGAGTGAGAGACAGAAAGACACAGAGACACAGAAAGAGACACAGACAGAGATGGGCGCAGAGAGACTGAGTGAAAATGTTGAGGATATCTGGTTCCACATCAGTGTGCCGGGATTGAGCCTTGCCTTCTTGGAAAGAACAAAATGATCAGTGTTTTCACTGAGTACCCCCCACCTACACCCGGGTAAAAAGGGATCATCTCGATGCCCCAAATCCTTAAGCATCATCCTCTCCTTTCTCTACCCTGCTCCCCTCCCCTGATTTCCTGCTGGAGTTAAATGGTTGGTGCACTTGGCTGCTAACCACAAGGTTGAGGGTTTGAATCTACCAGTGGTGTCTTGAAAGAGGGGTCTGACAAACTACCTCTAAAAAAGTAGCCATTAAAAACAGTTCTACTCTGACACGCATGGAGCCCACCGAAGCAGGTTTAGTTTTTCTTGATTCCCCGCTGGAGTTGTCTCCACCATCACCTAATGGCCTCAGGCTGATCTGGAGGAGGACATGGTGGCCTGGCAGGCCCCTCCCTGAGCCTTGTCTCTCTCCCCTACCACAGCTGGGGAAGTCACGGAGAAGCTATTCACCCTGAACTTCACCATCAACAACCTGCGCTACTCAGCCGACATGGGCCGCACTGGCTCCCTCAAATTCAATATCACCGATACCCTCATGCAACACTTGGTAAGAGGCCTGCCTTCCCAGCCCAGCACTCTTGCTCGTGGTGTTGGACTAACACTGACTCTTTCTTGCTCTTCCAGCTCAGCCCATTGTTCCAGAGAAGCATCCTGGGTGCCCGGTATACGGGCTGCCGGGTCACAGAACTAAGGTGAGATCCCTGTCATTCTTACATGTCTCTTCCTCTCTCCACCACTGAGTTATTTGGGATTCTGACCTCTGACCACCAGGAAGTCACCAGGACTGGCTGTGGACTCTCTCTATGAAGTGTCCTCTTTTGCATTCTTTTTTTTTTTTTAGTTTTTATTGTGAATTGAGTGATAGTTTACATGGGAGGACATCAGCTTTACACTCATCCTATCATATTTCATTTCATTCCCATGATTTCAATCCCCTCCATGCATCATCATTCAACAGCATTGGCTTCCAATCCCTCTGTTTCTGTGTTTTTGTTTTTTCTGTTTTTGGATGTACACCAAAACACTCAGGAATATATAACCATTCAAACAACCAAAGGGTAGACCCTGCACACCAGCCCCCCAGCTATCAGCACATAGCCCCTCTCCTTCCATGAGTCTAGAGTCCCCAGCCACTCCATCTCTCCATGTCATTGTCTCTGCCTCCATCTCTGGCATCGCTGCTTCTCTGGATAGGGTCCCACACTCCACTCTTCTTCCTTGATGGTCCTAGGGTCCTCCACTCCTAGACATCTGCATTCATTTTTACTCTCCCATCTCTGGGCCAGCTTGTGTTCCATTGGCACAGTCCCTAGATGGCGCAAATCGTCTGTGTTCCAGTGGTGATGGTGGTGTGGTGGTGGTGGTGGTGTGCCGAGTCGGTTCTGATTCATAACAACCCTGTATAAGGTTTCTGAGGTTGCAGATCTTTACAGGAGGAGAAAGCCTCATCTTTCTCCCATAGAGTGAGTGGTAGATTTGAACTGCTGACCTTGCAGTTAGCAGACCAGCTCATAATCCACTCTAAAAAGTTGGCAGCTTGAACCCACCCAGCAGTACTGCTGAAGAAAGGCCTGGTGATCTACTTCCGTGAAGATTATAGCCAAGAAAACCACATGCAGCACACACGGAATTCTCGTGGGTTGTAACTGACTTGACAACAAAGGATTTTGGGTTTGTTTTTCAGTCCCTAGTGGGTATGGATTGCATCTCAATGTAAAGGAAACAAAATCCTCACCAATGGATCAATAAACAACATTCATATCAATAGAGAAAAGACTGAAGTTGTCAAAGACTTCATTTTTCTTTAATCAACCATCAACACACATGGAAGCAGCACTCAAGAAATCAAACAATGTATTGCATTAGGCAAATCTGCTGCCCAAGATCTTTTTAAAGTGTTGAAGAGCAAAGATGTCAGCTTGAGGACTAAGGTGCGCCTAACACAAGCCATGGTATTTTAACTAACCTCACGTGCATGTGAAAGCTGGACCGTGAATAAGGAAGACTGTATAAGAATTGATGCATTTGAGTTATGGTGTTGGAAGAGAATATTGAAAGTGCCATGGGCTGCCAAAAGAACTAACAGATCTGTGTTGGAAGAAGTGCAGTCAGAGTGCTCCTAGGAGGCCAAGATGGCTAGACTTTGCCTCTCATATGTCAGATATAAGAGTCTTGTGGTTCAATAGTGAATAATTGCCATCAGGACTGATTGTGAGTGTTGCAAATGTAAAGGTAGACATTTTGTAACAAAAGGAGGGGAGTGGTTGATCTTGCAGTCCAGGAGTGGAGGACCCTGGGACCATAAAGGGAGAAGAGGAGAGTGCGGGACCCTATCCAGAGAAGCAGTGATGCCAGAGATGGAGGCAGAGACGATGATATGGAGAGATGGAGCAACTGAGGACTCTGGACTCAAGGAGAGAGAGGAGCTGTTGGGGGGCAGGCTTGCAGGGTATACCCTTTGGTTGTTTGAATGGTTGTATGTTCCTGAGTGCTTTGGTGTACATCAAAAAAAGCAACAATGACAATAAAAGATAATGCAGGGAATGAAACAAATGCTGTTGAATGATGATGCATGGAGGGGATTGTAATCATTGCAATAAAACAAAATCAATAGGATGAATGTAAAGCTGATGTTCTCCTTTGTAAACTATCACTCAATTTACAACAAAGACTTTTTAAAAAAATAAACAACAACAACAAAAGAAAGCTGCCCAAGGCAGAGGGAGGAGCATGAGCAAAGGTCATGAGGTAGTAATCCACCAGTGACAATGTTCTACACGCTACTTTGGTGAGTAGTGACTGAGATTTTAAACGGTCATGAGAGGCCATCAAAGGTGCAATTGTTGGTCTCTATCTGAAAGAAAGAAGAGTGATGAAAATTGAAGATGCTTGGAAAAAATTATTCCAGTGGACTAATGCACCACATGAACATCAGTCTCCATTACCTTGAGACCAGAAGTACTAGATGGTGCCCCGCCATCACTACCCAATGCTCCGAAAGGAATCACATTAGAAAATCCTTAATAGAGTGGGAGAAAATGTGGAACCGTACTTAAAATCATAAAAAGACTAGGCTTACCAGTCAGATAGAGACTGATGGAACCCTCACACTGACCCTTGGTCACCCTGCAAGTCTGGAATTGAACTCACTCCTGTGGCTCAGTTTTCAGCCAAGCAGTAGTTATATAGTGGAGACAACAACACTAGTGAGGTATACACACCATTCAATGGTCAACTACTTGAGAGCAAAAGGGCAGTACTTACCTAAGGTCAAGTTTAGAAAGGTTAGGAAAGAAGGACTAATGGAACTCAGGGAAAGAACCACAGGGAGGAAATTGGATAAGTGAGGTTACATTGGGGGAGTTGCAGTCATTGAGATTAAACATATGCTTTGTTGAACGTAAAACTGATGGTCTGTTCACTCAAGTCACAATTAAAGGCAGGGGGTGGTCATGGAGTGAGAACAAGCTTGGCATGTTTAGTGAACAGCAATGAGGCCAGTGTGGCTAGAGCAGAGAAGAAGTGAAGGAAACAGAGGGAGATGATCTTTGAGATCTCTGCTGGTTCTACAGCAAATAGGGTCTTGGAAAACTTGTAATATGAAGCAAGCACTGTGCTAGATGCTGGAGTTTTAACATAACAACTGGCTCAGTCCCTTGCCCTTTCGAGGTGACAATCTGGAGGGAACATGGATATATATATATATATATGATTACATAAAGGGCAACCAGGGCTATCAACAGTCAATGACCATGGAAGTAACAACTAAGAAACAAATGACATATTTCATTGGGCAAATCTGCTGCAAAGGACTTCTTCAGAATTCTGAGAGCAAAGATGATGGTGATGAATAAGCTACACTTGACCCAAGCCATGATGTTTTCAGCTGCCTCATATGTATGTGAAAGCCGGTCAATGAAAAAAGAAGCCAGGCAAGTTATCGATGCATTTGGATTGTGGTGTTGGTAAAGCATACTGACTATACTGTTAGACTGTGAACAGATGTGTGTTAGAAGAAATACAACAGGATGCTGCTTAGGAGCGAGGGGGTTGAGACTTCATGTTACTTACTTTGGACATATCATCAAGAAAGACCAATGGCTAGTAAAGACCAAAGAAAATCCTCAATGAGATGGGTTGACACAAAAGCCACAACAATGGATTCAAACCTACCAGTGACCATGAAGATGGCCCAGGATTGGGCAGCATGTTCTTCTGTTGGACATAAAGTCACCATGAGTCAGAGCTGATTTGACAGCAAGTAATTGGGTTGGAACCAACTGACTCTACAGCATTTAACAAATTAACAGCACAACAACCAGGACTGATGGGGAAGCACAGGGAACTAGGGGTCCTAGAGGAGGCCCGTGGCCCAACCTGGGAGGGTCCTTGAAGAAGAAAGCATCAACGTTGAGACATGAAAAATGACTGGGGAGTTACCCAGGTAAGCAGCATCTTCCAGACAGTAGTAACTGCTCATGCAAAAGCGCTGATTTAAGAGAATATAGTCAGGTGGAGATGGTCAGTGAAGCTCAAGGTTCGGCGGGTGAAGTATGCAGGGGCCATAGGTAGCTGTCATCCCCAAAACCAGCTTCTCCTTCATGTCCTTAGAAGCACCTCCCTCCCCAGGTCTGAGAAAGACAGTTCCTGGACAAGGGTGGATGCTCTCTGCACCTACCGGCAGCCTCCCAGTGGTCCAGGCCTGCATGCAAAGCAGTTATTCTATGACCTGAGCTGGCAGACCCGTGGTATCACCCGGCTGGGCCCCTACTCACTGGACAAGGACAGCCTCTACCTCAATGGTGAGTGGCTCTTCTCCTTACCTCCCTGGGCCTGCCCTCTCCCATCCCAGGAGGGTCTCAGTTTACTGACTCTCCAGGGAAAGTCTTGGAACAAATTCAAATATGAATCCTGACTCCACTACTAAGCTCCCAAAGCTACCTGCAAGGCTATTGCTGTTGTAAATGCTGTCAAGTTGGTCCCCACTCAGCGACCCCGAATAAGGTTTCCAAGGAGCAGATGGTGGCTTTGGACCACCGACCTTGTAGTCCCATTCTTATCCTACAGTGCTACGCCAGATCTCCACCTACAAGCCTAATCTTTAAATAATCACTTTTTTTTTTTTTTCAAGTTTTTATTGTGAAGTGAGTGAAAGTTGACAGGGCAGAGCATCAGTTTTACATTCAACAAATCATATACTTTGTTTCATTGCAATAATTATAATCCCCTTCATGTGCCATCAGTTAACAATATTCTTCTCTATTCACTTTAGCTTTTTTTTTTTAACAGTCAGGCATATATAATCATTTAAACCACCAAAGGGCACATTCTGCAAGTCTGCCAATAATCACATTTTACAGATGGAAAAACTGCGGCTCGGGTAGATTAAGTAATTTGACCAAGTACATGTAGCTTGAGAGTGGTGAGCTGGGCATGAACCTCAGATGTCAGAATCCAAAGCCTTGATGATTAACTCACAAAAGAATTTTCTGAGGGGAGGCCCAGGGAAAGGAATTCATTCCCACCTGTCTCCCCTCCTTGCCTCCTATGAGCATCTACCCCGAATGGGCCCCTGTACCTGGAAGGCAGGCAGGCATTTTGAACATCTAGGGTATCTACACTGCAGGCATGCTGGGTATCAGCATTAGAGTAGATGGTTCCCATCTGGGTTCTAGGAAGCTCAGGGTTGCCATGGTGAGGGTGCTAAGCTAACTTTCCTCCCTCATACTCCATCCCCAATCTGGGGACAGTGCCTGGCTCTCTCACTGTTGCCCCTTCAGTGAGCAAGGAGGATGTGGCCTTTAATAAGGACCCAAACCGCACTGCTGTCTAGTCACTTCTGATGCATAGTTACCTGTCAGAGTAGAACTGTCCCATTGGGTTTCTAAGACTGTAGAAATCTTTACAGGAGCTAACTGGCACATCTTTAATTGGCACTGGAAGATAAGCACTAGACCACAAGGTCGATTTGAACCACGACGTTGGTGGTTCAAACTCACCAGGCGCTCCTTGGAAACCCTATCCCGAGTCGCTATGAGTCTGAACCGACTTAACAGCAACAGCATTCTTGAGAGGAGCGGATTGCCACCTCTTTCTTCTATAAAGTGCCTTGTGGGTTCAAACGATCAACCTTTCAGTTAGCGGCCAAGCACTTTGACCAATGTGCCACCAGAGCTCGTAAACTGATGCTACCGAGTTCATTCCAACTCTTAGTCACCCTATAGAATCAAGTAGACAGAACAGACTGTCATGCACGTCTTTCTCCTTTGAAACAAATGGTGAGTGCAAACTGCCAGCCTTTTGATTAGCACCCGAATGCCTAAAGCCAAGGGTTGTTGTAACTGAGGGATCAAGAAAACCTTAATAAAGTGGGTGACATTTCATCTCACTTGTAAGAGGTGCTGAGATGCTTCCCAGGTACACAGAGGGACAGACATCCATCAGGGGACCCACATGGACAAAGGCAAGGATGCATCCGGGACTGTTTCACCATCTCCCTTCATGTCTGTTGTTTTGCTTCCAGGTTATAATGAACTTGGTCCCGCTGAACCTCCCACAAGTACGTATCCTTGCATCCAGGGCCCATGTTGGATTGGGGGGCCCTGGACCAAGTTTCTGTCCAGAATCACAAAGGGAGTTTGCCCTTATCATCATGTTTACTGTACCAACTCACAACACAGAACTGTTGAGCCAACAACATCTGAGGTCCGGGGTTGCCAGCAAAAGCGTAACTTATACATGGGCAATTGAGTGGAACAAATTCTTTATTCACATGGGGACGAGGCAAAGCAAGCTCAGTTTCCATGACAACCCCAGTATCCCATGACCAGTAGTCACTCCCTGAAGTCATACAGGGCTGATGTTCCATCTAAACCACGAATGAGGAACCTTGTTCCCTTACCTCCAGGAACATGCATAGAAGTGGGGGTGGACAGGTGCCATATACTGCATGTGCATGCACAAACAGGGAGAGTACTGCGTCCCCAGAACAGGGCATGAAGTTTCCTGAGAAGGAGAAGAAACACAACAGGCAGAGAGAGACTCAGTTCCCAGCTTTCATGATCAGGGAATGTTCTGGGTCCAAGATTACTGAAGAGGGTGAGTGAGGCAGGTTGTCCTCCTAACAGCCCCAAATTCAGGTAGGCCTCCTGAGGGAGACCAAGGCTCAGTGAGAGGAACAAGACTGGGCCCCTGACCTCTTCTGAACCTACAACCATGGTATCAACATTCAGAATTTTCCATCCCACCCGCCCCGGGTTGGAGGCAAATGTTTGGGTAAGTGTCTGTAGGCAAGGCGCTGAGGTCAGATGATGACCTTGTAGTCTCCGCCTCCTGCTAATAAGAGTCCATTTGGAGGGTTCAGTGTCACTTTGCAAACTCTGGCTGCTGTGCAAGTGACTTTGGCCAGTTTTATCCATTCACTCATCAAGTGCCCCAATCATCTGTCTTCCCACCTATCCATTCTTCTAGCCTCTCATCCACCCATCTGTCCTTCTAGGCTTCTTTTCCTCCGTTTCTTCCTTGTTTCTATTCTTTCTGACCCTCCATTCATCTGTTTCTTCTTGGACCATCCATGTATCCCATCTGTCTCTCAGTTTTTCTCTCCATCCATCTGTTCTCTTTGTTCACCACCTCCTCCTCTTGCTTCCTGGGATTAATCCATCTGCCTGCTTTCGCCAGCCTTCCCTCATAGCCGGTCAGTGGTGTCCTCATTCTCATTTATAGTTCCCCTCCGAATGGTTGAGCCCAGGTGAGCCCCAACTCTCTGTGGGGGGCTCCTTTCCTCACTGTTGATGCTTTTCCATAGCTCCTGAGCTGGCCACCACAGCCCTGCCTCCTCCGTCAACAACTGTGCAGACAGAAGCCACCACAGGTATCTGACGTCATCCGCCTTCCACTCTGAGGGAAGATCCCTAGTCACATACCTCTACCAGGCTCAGGCAGGGGTTCAGAAAGCCAAGGTGTGAAAGCATCAAGTCAGGGTGATTATTCTGATCAGAGATGAGAGCAGCAATTCAGTACAATGCCTTGTGAGAGAGACACAAGGAGCTCCCATTCTTGTGAAAGAAACGTTATTATCACATATTGGGGGGGGGGGCTGTTTTGGGGAGAGGCACCTGGCATCATTTGCATGGGAACTTGTAGAGTAAGTTTCACCTGTACTACAACTGGGTCTTTAAAGGCCAGTAGGAGGTCAGCAGTTTAAACTCACCAACCAGCTCCATGGAAACTTTGTTGGTGGTGGTGTTAAGTGCTGTCGAGTCAATTCTGACCCATAGCGACCCTGTATAGGATTTCCAAGGAGCAGCTGGTGAGCTTGAACCAGCGACCTTGCAGTTCAAACGACTTTGCAGTCTGACACATTAGCCCACAGCACCACACCAGGACTCCTGGTTAACCTTGTTGTTGTTGTTGTTGTTGTGTGCCATGGAGTCAGTTCCGACTCATAGTGACCCTGCACAGGGTTTCCAAGGCTGTAAATCTTTACGGGAGCAGAAAGCCTCATCTTTCTCCTGCGGAACAGCTGGTAGTTTTGAACTGGTGACCCTGAGGTTCACAGCCCGATTCATAACCACTGCACTACCAGAGTTCCTTTTGTTGACCTTATGCAGGGTCATTATGAGGTAGAACCAAAGGCACTTAACAACAACAACAACAAGGAGTGATCTAAACAAATACTGCTAAAAGAATGGTCTTGTCAGGGATCCATGCTCACCAGCTCAATGTCCTGAAACAATATGGTATACGGGAAACATTGAGAGGAATTTGATTTGCATGCAAAGACTGAGCCTTAGTAGGGGCCACGTTGGGAAGGGCCTTGAAGGCCAGGACAAGAAACTTGAACTCAACACTGAAATCTGTAGGGAGCTAGACCAATGGATGGTATGAGAGCAAGTATGGCCCAGGTGACACTTTCATTTCAGAAGGATGTCCCTTCAGACAGGAAACCTAGTGAGTCCTACTGCGGCTGCTGGTCCAAGCCAGAGACGATAAGGCCTAAGTGAGAAACATTCGTCAAGTGGAATTGTTACTTAGAGTGAAGGCAAGGGAAGAACTGGAGAGCTAGGCAGGTTCTGACTGAGGCAACCCTAGGGCTGAGTGGCGGTATGCGACTGGGAGAGGCGACAACAGCTTATAATACCAGCTCTCCGGGATGGTAGCCTCTCACATGTCCTTCTTCCAGCTACTGGGCACACCCAGGAGTTCTTCACGCTCAATTTCACCATCTCCAACCTCCGGTATTCACCAGACATGGGCGACCCCAGCTCTGCCACATTCAACTCCACTGAGAAGATTCTGCAGCACCTGGTGAGTTTCAGGTTACAGCACTTCCTAAAGGGACCAACTCTGGAGGGCAGTGGTGGGTGGTTTTAGTGGTGGAACTCCCACCCTCCAGGTGCAAATTCCGGCCACTGCACCTGGTGCACAGCCACCACCTCTGTCCGAGGAGGCCTTCGTGTTCCCACAATGCTGAGCAGGTTTCAGAGAAGCTTCCAGACAAAGCAGTCTGGGAGGAAAGACCTGGTGATTAACTTGTAAAAAAGCAGTCAGTGGAAACCCAACGGATCGTAACAGTTCAGTCTACAACGATGCTGGAGGTGCACAGCATTGCTTTCTGTTGAATATGGAGTTACCAGGAGTCCAGACCCAACTCAATGGCAACTGACAATACTACCAGCCGCTCCCCGGACCACAATGCCGCCTGCTCACCTTCCTCTCTCTTCTCCAGCTCACACCCTTGTTCCAGAAGAGCAGCCTGGGCCCCGTCTACTTGGGTTGTAGACTAATCTCCCTCAGGTGAGACTTCCTCCTGCCCGTTTTCCTGTAGTGACCACCCCTTTCTCAGTTTGCCCACTCCTCCCACTTGCTCCCTTCCCCTGATTCTCCCCCCAGAAGTCTCAGGACCTCACCCTAGGATCCCAATATCTCCCCAACCCCCCAGGCCTGAGAAGGACAGGACAGCAACTAGAGTGGACGCCATCTGCTCCTACCACCCGGCTCCTGAGGGCTACAGCCTGGACAGAGAGCGATTGTACTGGGAGCTAAGCCAGTTGACCCAAGGCATCACCCAAGTGGGTCTCTACACCCTGGATAAGGACAGCCTCTCTGTCAACGGTGAGCAGTCATGCTAAGCTTGGGACGCACAGTGACCATTGCTGGCCCTGGTTCTATCGACTTTCCTCTCCAAAATGTCAGCTTGATTGGGGGGTGGTCACTCCAACCATAAAAAGGATCTCGTTCTTTCAGGTAAATGGCATAGCATCCTTTGACCAAGTTAATACAACAAATTCTAATTAAAAACCAAAAAAGCTTGACCCATGGCATATCCTGATATAGGGTCATGGCTTCCTCTCCATATCAGTGGTCCTTACCTGCTGGGAATTCTGTACCTCATAAGATGCTGACCAATGGCTGGAGATAGCAGTAGTTTTCACAACTGGGGGAGAGTGCTACTGGCATCTGGTGGGTAGAGGTCAGGGATGCTGAGCAACATCTTTCACACTCAACTTCACCATCTCCAACCTCCGGTATTCACCAGACATGGGCAACCCCAGCTCTGCCACTTTCAACTCACAGGAGCCCTCATCTTAGTACACAGGGGGGTCCCTTATGTAGCATGAGAGCCACCTTGAAAGTTGAGCAGACCCAACAGAGATCAGGGCACAGTGGGTCTTGATTATGCCCATCTAGCTGGTCAAGAGAGAGAGATACTGAGTGTGAGAATCCCACTCCATCTCTTCAGTTGACACTTGACACTTATATCCCCCCAAACCTCAGAAGTTGGGTTGCCAGATAAAAAATACAGATTATGTGTTTTATGTGTCCTTTAAGAATCACGTATTCCAAATGTGAGTGGCGCTGAGGGGAAGAAACCGTGTTGTACATGGCTCCACCATTCCTACATGGACTCAGCACTTCCCACATGTCACTGAACCACTGGTTTAGTTATCTGATGGCTCCTTACACTGCGAGCTCTAGGTCACAAGGGTCTGTCTGGCAGGCCACCATAACCTCAGTTCTCAATATGGCGGCACAGATCGTAGTACTGAATGAATGACTGAATGAACGTGTGAACAAGTAAAAAGTGATGCTCTCAGCCCTGGACGTGTGGAGTACTGCTGCAGCTCATCTTCATTCATTCAACTAACATATACAAGTGACCGCTCGGGCCCAAGCCCTATGCTGGAAATAGAAGGTAACAGTTCTTGTCTCTGAAAAACTCAGTTGAGTGGACCAAGGATTACTAAAGAGCACAGTAAAATCAGTGATGCTCGTATTAACAGGGTGTTGTTGCTGTTGTTGTTAAGTGCTGCCAAGTTGGTTCCGTCTCATAGCAACCCTTTATAGGGTTTCCAAGGAGTGGCTGGTGGGATTGAAGTCCAGTGCTTATCCTACAGTGCCACACCATAACTCAAAGAGCGTGCTCCATGGTACATTTCCTGCCTTCTGTGTGGGAGACCTGGGTTCAGTTTTCAGTCAGTGCACTTTGTGTTCCTCCACTACCTGTCTGTCAGTGGAGCCTGCGTGTTGCTGTGGTGGCAAACAGGGTTCAGCAGAATTTCTGGACAAAGAAGAAAGACCTGGCGCTCTACTTCTGAGGATCACCTGTGGATCACAATGGTCCAATCCCATTGTGCACAGGGTTGTCATGTATTGGGGGGTCAACTTGATAGCAGCTAACAACATGGGACTTTCGTGGACGATTGGATTGAGGAGGGCTTCCTGGAAGGTTGTGTGTGTGTTTCTAGCATTGTGCTAGGCGCTGGGACGTGACAGTGACCAAGATAGACAGGTCCCTGCTTTCAAGGTGCGCCATCTCATTGGGCAACTGAAGCACGAATAAGAGTTTTCAAGGAAAACAAGAAGATAAAAGAATATCCATCCCCTCGGCCTTAGGGCCATATTGTTAGAAGCCTCCGAGCCATGAGAGCCAAGTGGAGGAAGAAGCGAATGCACAGGCTGAAGCGCAAAAGCAGAAAGATGAGGCAGAGGTCCAAGTAAAGGCTAGCGAGAACACCCACGGAATCCAGAGCAGCAGGAATACGGAAAGCCAGAGGCCGCGACGCTGGTGCAAGTGCACTATGTGCTACCATCTAGTATCTATGACTCGACCAACAGAGGGAACCCTCAGCCACCAAAAGAAAAGAAATAATAAAGATTAAAGCAGAAACAAATGAGATAGAAAACAGAAAAACTATAGAAACAATCAACAGGACAAGAAGCTGGTTCTTTGAAAGAATTAACAAAATCAACAGACCATTGGCAAACCTAACAAGAAAAGAAGGAGAAGACACAAATAACATGCATTAGAAATCACATGGGTGATGTCACAATGGAACCAAATGAAATCAAAAGGATAATAATAGAATACTATGTAAAATCTATGACTCAATGATCTAGAACTGCCATCGCCATTCGAAGAATGCTACGAACACCTGAGACCCACCTTGCTGTCCCATTTCAGTTCGTTTTGATCCTTTTTCCTGGACCTATGACATTCTGAACTAGTTCTGTTATGTTGTGGCTGAATGCAACGTGCACTACAAATCATCTCTTCTGTCTTAACTGAATAAAAAAACAAAGACCATCCAGGAAGAGGCAACCACACTGGCACAAGTGGGAAGAAAGCTCATCTTAGGAAAATCCTTCCCTCTCTTTGGAGTGACTTTCCACTTGGACCTCCCATGCATGCACCTGAGTTTGGCTGACTCTAGCCCTGGAGAGCCTTGTGGTACAGCGATTGGTACTCAGCTGCTAAACAACAAATTGGCAGTTCAAACCCACCAGCAGTTCTGCATAAGAAAGCTGTGGCAGTCGCCGTCTGTAAAGACTGCAACCTTGGACACCCTCTGGGTAGCTCTACTCTGTCCTACAGGCTCGCTAGGGGTCAGAATGGACTCACCAGCAGTAGACTCTGGCCCTGTGTGGTACAGTAAATGGACTCAACTACTGAAAGGTTAGAGACTTGAGTCCACCTAGAAGGCACTTGGAAGAAAGACCTGGCGCTTTACTTCAGAAAAGCCAGCCATTGAAAACCCTATGGCACCCAGTTCTACTGTGACACACATGGGGTCGCTACGAGTCAGAACTACTTCATGGTAACTTTTTTTTTTTTTTTAACAGCAGCAAGCAGGGGCCCTTGGGCCACCCTGACTATGCAGTGTGTTAAGGGTTCCCGCCTGTCTCTCCTTTCTCTTTGTGGTTCCAGGCTATACATTCCAGGGTTCATCGACCCAGAGTGAGTACCAACTGCATTTTCGCATCATCAACCGGAATCTCAGCAACCCAGACCCTGCATCCTCAGAGTATACTGCCTTCCTGTGGGACATCCAGGACAAGGTGGGTTCTCTCCTGCCCCTCCTGTGAGGCTTTCTCCTCACTTAGACCTGTTAACTGATTTCTTTCAACTCTTCACTCTGCGTACTCTGGCCTCTCGCAATTTCCAAAGTTGGTGCCTGGGCTGCTGTCTCCATTTCTAAGATGGGCAAATGGAGGCTCAGAAAAGGATTTGGCATGTCTAAGGCAGCACAGTGACTTTGGGGCAGAGTCAGGATTTGAACCCAGGTCTGACTTCCTCCAAGGCCTGTGTTCTTTCCACTGGCTCCACTTGCTCCTCTCCCTACCCTCTCTTTCCAGGTCACCACGCTTTATACCAGCAGCCAGCTGAGAGATGTGTTCCGCTCCTGCCTGGTCACTGACTTGAAGTAAGTGGGGGAGGTCGGGAGGGCACTGGCTAAGTTGGTGACTGGTGACTCTTAGCTCCCATGTAACACCTCTGAGTTGGAAGTTGCTGGTACCATGGCCCTTTTCTCCAGTGTCCCTACCAGCTGAACCTGTCCTCTGCTTCCATAGGTTTGGGGTGGGTGGGGAGAGGATGGTTAACCTGATAAGCCTCCAGCATCCACCTCTTTCTTCTCTTCTGGGTGCTTGGGAAAACCACCTTTTTCATGTTGAACTCCAATAGCAGCCAGTAACTTTCAAGTCGACCCTGACGCATGGCAACCCCGTGTGTGTCACAGGAGAACTCCATCGATTTTCAGTGGCTGCTTTTCTGGAAGTAAATTGCCAGGCCTTTCTTCTGCAGCATCTCCTTGTCATTGTTATTGCTAAGTGCCATCGAGTCAGTACTGACCCATGGCAACCTTATGCACAACAGAATGAAACACTGCCTGATTCTGGGTCGACTTCACAATTGTTGCCACGCTTGAGCCCATTGATGCTGCCACTTGGCCAATCCATCTCACTAGGGGTCTTCCTCTTTTTCTCTGACCCTCCACCTTACCAAACATGATATCCTTCTTCAGCGACTGGTCCCTCCTGATAATATGTCTGAAGTATGAGAGACGAAGTTTGGCCATCTTGGCCTCTAAGGAGCACTCTGGCTGCACTTCTTCCAACACACATCTGTTGGTTCTTTGGCAGTCTTAACTGAAAAACATCAATTCGTCTACAGTCTTCAGCATCTCTAGGTGGACTCAAAGTGCCAGCCTTTCAGTCAACAGCCAAGCTAACCACCCAGGGACTCCACAACTCAATAGACCATTCTGGTGGATACCAGCCAGATTGTTTGCTGAGCATTTCCATGCATTAGCATCTCAGTTAATTGCCACAACAGCTCCTATATGTTGGGTACTATTATCATCCCCACCTTTCATAGAGAAACAGTGAGTGAGGCTCAGAGAAACACTATGAACTACGCAAGAAGTATCAAAGCTGGGGTTTGAATCCAGCTCTCAGAAGGCTGTTGAAGAAACTAAGGCATCTGCACTGGGGAAGAAGAAGATTCTACAGAACAGTGCTGGCTTTGAAGATTCTGCAGTTGAGTTACCTCATCCTACAACACGGGGATAGTTATAATACCTTTCATTAAGAACTGTTGTTGTTGTGAAGTGCCGTCGAGTCAGTTCCGACCCATAGCGACCCTGTATAGGGTTTCCAAGGAGCAGCTGGTGAGCTTGAACCACCAACCTTACAGTTCAAACGGTTTTGTAGTCTAGCGCATTAACCCACAGCACAACACCAGGACTCCTCCATTAAGAATAAGGATGTATATATAAGTCACTTCTCACTGGGCCTAATATATAGCAGGTGCTCAGTAAAGTCCTGGGGTGGTAGTTTAGGATAAGCACCAGACCGCAAGGTCCGTTTGAAGCACAAGTTCATTCCATCTCTAATTTCTGGTCAGGTTCCTTCCCCAGACTGGGGAGATCTTTTTGTGCCACTTCCCCTATTCCTTCATCTGCCACGGTTTGCCCCAAAGTCCTTGACTCTCCAGGCCAGAATTCAGCAGTCATCACTGGTGTTGGATTTTGGCTGAGTTCCGTGCTCTCTGTCCCCAGGATGGGCTCTGTGTTGGTCACCATGAAGGCCCTGTTCTCCTCCAACCTGGACCCCAGTGTGGTCGAGCAAGTCTTTCTGGCCAGGAGCCTGAATGCTTCATCCCACTGGCTCGGCGCCACCTACCAGCTGGAGGACCTGTTTGTGACAGGTGCGTGGTAGTCGGCTGGTTTCCCAACTGGAAGCGATGGAACTGAGAGGACAGGATGGGGCTTCCAGGTTGTAGTGGAGTGGATAGAGGATTTGGAGGTGAAAATGGGACCATATTGATGGCCCCCAATATTGGGTCATCCAACAAGAGGCAGGAAGAGAGCCCACACCAATTGCATCCAAGGAAATGGTTTTTTCTGTACGTTGCCTTACTTTTCTCGGGCTGCTGTAACAGAAATTTACTTCTCACAGAGTAGGAGGCTAGAAGCCCAAATTCAGGGCCATCTCTAGGGGAATGCTCACTGTCTGTTCTAGGGGGAGGTCCTTGTCGGTTTTCAGCTTTTATGATGTGGCTTCTTTTTTTTTAATGTTTTATTGTGAATTATGTGATAGTTTACGTGGGAGAACATTAGTTTTTCATTCATCCTATCATATATTGTTTCATTGTCATGGTTATAATCCCCTCCATGTATCATCAGTATCATCAAACAACCAAAGGGTATACACTACAAGCCTGCCCACCCCCTACCCCCGGTCATCAGCACATAGCCCCCCTCTCCCTCTCTATGTCCAAAGTCCCCAACTGCTCCATCTCTCCTCGTCATTGTCTCTGCCTTCATCTCAGGCATCACTGCTTCTCTGGGTAGGATCCTGCTCTGCGCTCTTCTCCCTTCATGGTCCCAGGGACCTCCACTCCTAGACTGAAAAGTTAATCACTCCCCTCCTTGCTACAAAACATCTACCTTTACATTTCCAACCCTCACAAGCAGTCCTGATAACAATTATTCACTACTGTATCACAAGAGACCCATCCGCATTTCATCAGATGATGTAGCTTCTTGATGATCTTCATGGAGTTGTCTTTCCCCATCTCTGCTTGCTTCTTCCATCTGCTCTTTTTATAGCTCAGAAGAAATTGATTTAGGACACACTCTATGTTAATATGGCCTCCTTAACATAACAAAGAAAAAAGAAAACCCTGTTCCCAAATGGGATTTTAACCACAGTGAGCATAAGATTTGGAATCCTGGGGTGAGCTGTAAATTAATGAGCTAGACTACAAAATCTGTGATTCAAACTCACCAGCCTCTCCTCGGAAAACCTATACAGGGTCGCTGTGAGTCAGAACTGACTCAACAGCACTTGAGACAACAACAACAACATACTGAGATTCACAGCCCCTGTTTTGGGGAACCACAATTCAATACATAATGTATGTCAAGCTTTCTAACCCAAATTGTGGAAGGCTTTGAGTTATCTTAAGAAAGAAAAAAAAAAACTTTAAGTTGATTCTTGCTCAAGGGCCACCAGTAGAATTGTGCTCCAGCGGCCTTTCTTGGCTGTGATCTCTATGGTAGTAAATTACTTCCTCTTGAAGCACTTCCGGGTGGATTCCAGCCTCCAATCTTTTGATCGATAGCCAAGCAGCTAATCATTTGTACCACCCAGGGACTCCCCAGTTATTTTCTTTGTTGTTGTAAAATGCCATCAAGTTGGTTCCAGCTCATAGTGACTCTGTACAGGATTTCTGTGGAGCGGCTAGTGGATTTGAATCACTGACCTTGAGGTTAGTAGTCCAGCGCTACACCAGGACCCCGAGTCATATTCCTAGGTCCCCACTTATATGAGTCATGCATTGATAGAATGCATGACTCATATAAGTTGAACAAATACTTGGAGTAAGCAAGTACTAATGACATGTGATCATTGCTGCAATAGTCTAATGGCAGGAGCCTATCGGAGTCACCAGGAGGGCCACGTGGTCCTGTTTTGGAAAGTTCGCTGACATATGGAGAAGGCAAGATCTGTTGGGGAACAGGACAAGGCAGGCTCCACGTGGCTAGAATCTAGAGGATAGAAAGAATGTAGCCTATTGGAGGAATTCGAATAAGTTTGGTGTGGCTGGAATGCACGCTGGGAGACAAATCAGCTGACAGCTTAGGCTAAAGAAATGGACAGGGACTTTGTGGGTCCCTGGACTGTTTGGGGGAAGGACACACCATATTCGGAGTCATTTGATGGAAAAGTTGTTCTTTCAGTGTTGTGTGGAGAATGGATTGGGACAGGAATGATGATGGCGGGAGGTAGCGGGGGACCCAGGCCATCCATCAGAAGTTTAGGCAAAGGTGTGTGACAGGTGCCCAGAGGGGTGGTCCATACATGCATCTGTCAACCCACCCCCAGCAAAGACTCAGTCTCCTCTTGCCCACATCCTGGTGAGTGGAAGGAGAGCTGGGACAGGTGGATAGATGGGGACAAATCGGAGAAGTGGATGAAGGGTCTTCTGTAGCCCACCTTTTAAAAGCCAGCTCAGGTCACATTGTTAAGAATAAGTCTTCTGATTGGCGTGACCTTTTGGTCAACTCTCTGCCCTAACATGAGGGGGTTTTATGTTTTTTGGGTTTTTTTAAGTTTTTATTAGGAATTCAGAGAAAGTTTATAGGGCAGATCGTAAGTTGTACATACAACAAATCATACACCTTGTTTCATTACAATGATTATAATCTCCATGTACCATCAGTTAACAGTATTTCTCTCTATTCATTTTAGCTTTTTTTTTTTTTAAACACTCAGGCATATATAATAATTTACACCACCAAAGAGCACATTCTGCACATCTGCCTCCTGACTGCCAGCTCTCAGTCCCTCTCTTTCCATGAATCTAGAGTCCTCAGCTGCTCCCTCTCACCATGTCCCCATCTCTGCCTTAATCTCTGATGTTGCTGCTTCTCTGGATAAGTCCTGCATTCCACTTGTGCTCTTCTCCCTTGATGGTCCTAGGGTCCTATGTTTCTGGACTGTAAGATTAACTACTCCCCCGTTTTTGTTACAAAACTTCTACCTTTACAATTGTGACCGTCACAATTAATCAAGATAACAATTACTCACTATTGAATCATAAGAATCTTATCCCTGTTTAGACAAGATGAAAACTATTCAGTGGGGACTCTATCTTCTCCCACATACTCTTAAGCCAAACTTCCGGCATGAGGGGTTTTACATATTTATTTTCTAGAAGTAAGACCATCGGTTCATCCACTGACAGACAAACCAGCAAGCGGCCCCACACCCCAGCACTTCCAGCTGAATTTCACCATCACCAACATACTGTATTCCCAAGACACAGCGCAGCCAAACTCTACCAAATACCAGCGGAACAAGAGGAGTATAGAGGATGCGGTGAGTATGAGCCTCAGTGTCAACTCTGTTCCCATGAAGAAGCAGGCCCAAGGACACTACGTAGTCAGAGTGTGACCTTTCATGACAAATTCCTGGAGGCAGGGTCATAGTCCCATTTTCCAGATGAAGAAACCAGTGTAGCAAGGTTCAGAGGCTGGCCCAGGGACACACAGCTAAGTCATACCCTGGAACAAGATGTCTTTTGGTACATACACCTCTGCTGTTGTTTACTGAGACAATAAGATGATAGATGCGGAACTGGGGGTAGTGAATGAAAATCCACTGAGGTCATTGGGCCTGGAATTCGGACCTAGGGAATGCTGTTCTGTCTTTCAGCTCAACCAGCTTTTCCGAAATAGCAGCATCAAGAGTTATTTCTCAGACTGTCAAGTTACAGCATTCAGGTGAGTTCCAACTAAGGAGCTAATGACTCTGGGAATTTCGGCTGTCCTTTACTTGTTATGGTCTGTCAGTTCTTAGCTGTTAAGGTGGGGATAACCCTAGGTAAACGGGACTGAAGTGTACTCAAATCAGAAGTGGTTAGGTTTAGCACTAAGGGTTAATGCTCTGAACTGGAAAGTCAGTTTGATCCACAGCGTTCAAACTCACCAGCTGCTCCTTGGAAACCCTATATAGGGTCGCTATGGATTGGAACAGAACATGAGAACACTGAATGGTTTAAAATTAAGAAAGGTGAGCTACAGTGCTGTATTCTTTCACCATATTTATTCAACCTGTATGCTGAGCAAATTACCTGAGAAGCTGGGTTCTGTGAAGAAAAACATGGCATCAGGATTGGAGGAAGACTCATTAACAACCTACGATATGCATATGATACAACCTTCCTTGCTCAAAGTGAAAAGGACTTAAAATATTTACTGATGAAGATCAAAGAGCACAGCCTTTGGTATATATTGCATCTCAATGTAAAGAAAACAAAAATCCTCACCACTGGACCAATAAACAACATTCTTATCAATGGAGAAAAGATTGAAGTTGTCAAGGACTTCATTCTTCTTGGATCAACTATCAACATTCGCGGAAGCAGCAGTCAATAAATCAAATGATGTATTGCATTAGGCAAATCTGCTGCCCAAGACCTTTTAAAGTGTTGAAGAGCAAAGATGTCAGTTTGAGGACTAAGGTGCACCTGATCCAAGCCATGGTACTTTCAATAACCTCATATGCATGTGTAAGTTGGACAGTGAATAAGGAAGACTATAGAAGAATTGATGCATTTAAGTTATGGTGTTGGAGGAGAATATTGAAAGTACCACGGACTGTCAAAAGAACCAACAGATCTGTGTTGGATGGAAGAACTGCAGCCAGAGTGTTCCTTGGAGGCCAAGATGGCCAAACTTCATCTCTCATACTTCGGACATATTGTCAGGAGGGAGCAGTTGCTGGAGAAGGATATCATGTTTGGTAACGTGGAAGGTCAGAGAAAAAGAGGAAAACCCAGCAAGATGCATTAGCAAAGTGGCAGCATCAATGGACTCAAGTGTGGCAACAATAGTGAGGTTGGCCCAGGACCAGCAGTGTTTCTGCTGTGCATAAGGTTGCTATGAGTCAATACCAACTCGATGGCCCCTGACAACAACAGCAATGGGCTGGAACCACCTTGACAGGACTTAACAACAGCAGTACACTGATATGCCCCCAGTTGATTGAGAGATTGCATTACATTAGATTGTATTAATGAAGGTAAATACATTACATTACTTTATATTACAAGGTCAATTGTATTTAATCTCATGATTAAATCTAAAACAACATATGGTGAAGATTTCAAGACATATCTTGGGAGGACATAGTTTGATCCTTAACTCTGATTTTCAAGGTAACTGAGGATCTGGAAAGAGGAAGACAGACTAGGATAAGTTAAAATGCCACAAAACTTTCTGTCATTACCACGATCCAGCTGGTTTGGGGTTGCTTTTTAAAAATTTTTTGTTGTTGAGTTTTTTAAAGTTTTTTATTGTTGAGAATATACACAGCAGAGCATGTTCAAATGTCTTCACTTCCAATTCAGTGACATAGATTACATACTCCGAGTTGTGCAGCTGTCCTCAGCCTCCTGTTTCTGAACCATTCCTCTCTGGGAACATACACTCCCTGCCCCTAAGCTTCCTACCTAATCTTTCCCATTGCTGTTACCAAGTTGACCTCACATAGATAGACCTTAAAAGACCACAGTGCTCAAGGCAGACAGTCATTACTAGTTAGGCTAAACTACTGTTTGGTTTTAAGAGATTTCAGGAGGAGATTGTAATCATTGCAATTTGTAATGAAACCGATGTTCTCCCATGTAAACTATCACTCAATTCACAATAAAAACTTTTAAAAAAAAAATTTTTTTTTAAAGAAGACTTCAGGGGATATTTTCTGTTTAAAGTTAAAAGATTGTCTTGGTGGAGAGTGAAGCATCCAGCTGATAAGAAGAGAGGGCATATGCACAATAATACCCACTCAACCTGGCTTCAATGGCTGGATGATCAGAACTCAACTAGAAGAAGAAAAAAAGAGTAATCTGATACAATTTGATGAACTTGACCTACACCTATGGATGCAGTAGCTCAAAAGAGTGAACAAATCTTTACAGCGAGGATCATTCCCACCCCCTCAGTACACAGGGTAGACAGGGATGAGCAACTTGGACATTGGCTACCCAAAATTGGGGGGGAGGCCTACAAAGGGAAGAAGTGACTGGCTTACAAGCTTCCAAGAGGGAGCCTAAATCCTGAGGGCATGGAGGAAGGTAGAATCTCCAGTGAGTAGTATTTAATCTGTCTGGGTGGGGTTAATGAAAGGAGATGGGGATAGGTCTCTTGTGGTACAATAGTGAATAATTGTTATCAGGACTGACTGTGAGGGCTGGAAATGTAAAGGTAGATGTTCTGTAGCAAAAGGAGGGAAGTGGTTGACTTTGCAGTCCAGGAGCATAGGTCCCTGGAACCATGAAGGGAGAAGAGCGGAGTGCGGGACCCCACCCAGAGAAACAGTGACGCCAGAGATAGAGGCAGAGACAATGCCATGGAGACATGGAGCTGCTGGGGACTTTAGACCCAGAGAGGGAAAGGGGCTGTGTGCTGATGACTGGGGCGCAGGCTTGCAGGATATACCCTTTGGTTGGTTGATGATACATGGGGGGGATTGTAACCATGGCAGTGAAACAATATACGATAGGATGAATGTAAAGTTAATGTTCTCCCATGTAAACGATCACATAATTCACAATAAAACACTTAAGAAAAAGATTATCTCAGAATATTAGTTTTGGGGAATAATCTTAGCCTCCATGACTCCAAAAAATCTGGAGTCCATCAGAATTTGAAATTCTGTTCTGTATTTTCTCCCTTTTGTTCATGGGAGACGGGCATCACCCAGTTTTGAATTTTCCTCATGGCTAAGAAAGCAGTGATTCAGAGATTCACTTAGTCACATAGTCCATATGGTCTCCTGTTCTTGTCACTCCTTCCTCTCTTGCTCCAGGCAAATACAGACCAATTGTTGTCAGAAGTTTTGCTTAAATCAATTCTCCATTTGGTCAATGTTGATTTTGACAAGTTTTGCCTGTGTCTTGTTACTTTTGTGCATATTCAGAGGTCTTCAGTGTCCTGTGACTTTTATCCACACTAAAAAATTAAGAACCTGTCCCGTCTGAGTCAATTCTAACTCATTACAACCCCATCACGAACTACGCCATAAGGTTTACTTGGCTGAAATCTTTACAGAAGGAAGTTTCCAGACCTTTCTCTGCAGCGCTGCTTTTGATTAGTAGTTCAGTGCTAACCTCTTCACCCCCATGAGCCACATTGTAAGTTCTCAGTCACCACACGGGGCTAGCAATGATTGTATTGGCTAGTACACATATAGAATGGTTCCATCATTGCAGAACGTTCTTCTAGACGCAACTTAGAGTTAAGGAAGCTAGGACCAAGTTCTAGAATCTCAGAGACCTTTGTTCATCCTTCTTTCCCTTCCAGAGCTGTGCCCTACAGCAACCACACCGGGGTAGACTCCCTGTGTAACTTCTCTCCCTTGACTCGGAAAGTGGACAGAATTGTCATCTATGAGGAATTTTTACAACTGACCCAGAACGGTACCCAGCTACAGAACTTCACCCTGGACAGGAACAGCATTATTGTGGATGGTAAGGCTCTCTGGTAACTGGGGTTGGAGGGTGAGTGGGGTCTGACCTCCCACACATTTGAAACATTTCTTGGGAAATTGGAGGCCGGGGATAAGTCAGTATTGAATGTGTCTAGAGCGGCAAGAGACAACATTGTCCCCAGGCGGTACCCATAATTGAAGGAAAGCGAGGGGTCCCTGAGTGGCTTAAGAACTCCTCGTGTGGTGTTGTAGGATCAGCATTGGACTGTGAACCACAAGGTTGGCAGTTCAAACCTACCGGCTGCTTGTCAGAAACCCTAGCTATACAGGATCACTATGAGTTGGAACTGGCTTAACGGCAACTTAACAACCACAGGTGGCATAATAGTTTGCATTCAGTTCCTAACCAGAAGTTAGGCAATTTGAATCTACCCAACAGAACTACTGCAGAAAGGTCTGGCAATCTCCATCAGTAAGATTGGTAGTAGTGATTATGTGCCATGGAGTCAGTTCTAACTCATAGCGACCCTGTACAGGGTTTCCAAGGCTGTAAATCTTTACAGGAGCAGAAAGCCTCATCTTTCTCCTGATGAGCAGGTGGTAGTTTCAAACTGCTGACCTTGAGATTAGCAGTCTGACTTGTAACCACTACGCTACCAGAGCTACCAGAGCTCCTTCTGTAAGATTGTTGTTGTTGTTGTTGTTAGGTGCCATTGAGTCATTACCGACTCATAGCAACCCTATGTACAACAGAACGAAACACTGCCCGGTCCTGGACCAACCTCCCAGTTGTTGCCACATTTGAGCCCATTGATGCTGCCATTTTGCCGATTGAAATCCCTATGGAGTACAGTTCTACTCTGAAACATATGGGATCGTCATGAGTTGGTGTGTGTTTTTTAATAGGACGTAGTAATTCTCTGTCTTCTCCTAGCCTAGTGTGTGTGATATTCAGGCTAGTCATTATCTGTCTCTGGGTCTCCAACTCTGATCCATCCTTTACACCTTCACAAGAGTAATGGGATGGACATATTCTCCCTCGCCAATGCCTGCACAGCCATGTATGTTCATTCAAAAAAGGGTCCAAAACGATCACTGAGTATCTACAATGTACCATCGTACATCCAGGAATAAAGCAGGAATCCATGGTGGGGAAATGGTTAATGCACTTGAGTGCTAACTGAAAGACTGGAGGTTCAAGGCTACCCAGAGGCATGTTAGATGAGAAGCCTGGTGATGTCTTTCTAAAAATTCAGCCATTGAAAACCCTGTGGGGCAGAGTTCAAATCTGCCACACACAGGGCTGCCGTGTTGTCTACTTGACTAACTTTTCACTGAAAATAGCATATAAAGCAAGTGTTGTAAGGAATTTTATAATGGCTAAATCAGTATATGTTCTTTCTATTTTTCTGTATTTTTTAAAATGGTTTATTTAAAACAAAATAAAACACACACACGTCCACTCTCCATCTCATTTATTTTCAGGCTATTCACCCAGCAGACATGATGCCTTCATCAAGAATGTTGGTAAGTCCTGGGGTGATACAGTGCTTAATGCATTCACCTGCTAACTGAAAGGTTGGTGGTTCAAGGCCACCTTGTGCCATAATGGAAGAAAATTCTGGTGACTTACTTCCCAAAACTCAGCCATTGAAAACTCTATGGAGCACAGGTCTGCGCTGACACACATATTGTCACCATGAGTTGGAACTGACTCGATAGAAGCAACTTTTTGTTGTTGTTTTTTAAGTCTCAACGGAACTCCAGCCCTGGGTGGGGAGGGGACATCCTGATGCTGTGCTCCCAAAGAAGTGCTGTGCACACAGGGTCTCTGATGATGATGAGTGTTGGCTAACCCATGTGAGGGACAAACGAGGCACAGGAAGGCAACGGTGAAAGTCCTGCACTGATGGGAGCCCACACGTTTGGGGCTTCAGAACCTTCAGATGGTTTAATCACCAACTTCTCCACTCTGGTCCATGCCCATCCTCAGGCTGTACAAGGTCTGAGAGAGGGTCCTATGGGGGATAGCAGGAAGTGGTTTACCCTAAGACTTGTCTCCCCAGGTCTCCCCTTCTGGGCCATCATCCTCATCTGCTTGGCAGGACTCCTAGGACTCATCACCTGCCTGATGTGCTGTTTCCTGGTAAGTGAGAGAGGATTGCTTTTTCTTATTGATTTATAGGCACCCTTTATATGTTCTAAATACAAATCCCTTGAAGGATATAAGAACTTTGAAAGCATCGTCTCCCAGTCTGTGTGTGACTTGCCTTTTTATTTCTTAGCATTAGTCATTGTTGTTAAGTGTCATCAAGTCAGTTCTGACCCATAGCGACCCTGTTAGGGTTTCCGGTGAGCGGCCGGTGAGCTTGAGCCACCAACTTGGTGGTTCAGAACAACGGAAGTCCAGCGCATTAACCCACAGCGCCACACCAGTAAATCAAAACCCCAGTGAGATACCACTGTGTGCAGGAATGGCTAAATTTTAAAAGACTGTCTGTGTAACACGTGTTGGTGAGGATGTGAAACAACTGAAATGCTCATATACTGCTAGTGGAAAATAGCTTGGATGGCATGACCACCACCATATGACCCAGTCAGTTCCACTACTAGGAATTCATCAAATTAAATTAAATTAACACATACATCTGTACAAAGATTTGTACACACTTGTTCATAGTAGCTTTGCTTATAATAGCGCCAATCAGAAAACACTGCAAGTCTCAACATGTGAATGGATAAAGAAACTGGTATAGCCCTACAATGAAATAGTACTTGGCAATAAAAACAGTGAATTATTAATGCATGTAACCAGATGGGTACACTTCAAAATAATTATGTCATGTGAACAAAGTCAGGTCTAAAAAACAGCACATATCGTATGATCTCTTTTTTTCCTTTTAGTTCTAGAAATACAAACTAATCTATGGGGACAGGAAGCAGATCAGTAGTTGCCTGGGAATGAAGATAAGTTTGGAGGAGGAAGGGTGCCAAAAATTTGTAATTCAACTTTTAGATAATGGGCATACATTATCTTGGTTGTGGTGATGGTTCAACCACAACCAGAACTTACCAAATTACTTACTTTAAACAGGTACAGTTTATTGGATGACAGTTACGCATCTGTGACGTTTGGGAGGTGGTGGGGAGGAGATGGAGAGCGTGAATAGGAAGGGTTGTCAGAATCAGAAGAGGAGAGTATGAGACATCAGCTTGCTTGCTTTGGACTCATCATCAGGGAAGAGCAGACAGCAGAAAAAGGCATCATGCTTGTTCCAGTGGAGGGTCAGTTACAGCCATAAGTAAGAGGGATTGTCACAACTGGCCACAACGATGGAATCAAACAGATTGTAGATGGTAGATATGGCGGCACAGGGCGGGGCGCCACGTCCTCCTGTTATGCGTAAGGTTGCCGCGAGTCAGAGTCATTTCTGCGTCAGCTGACAGCACTACCACCAGAGGAAAAAAAGGTAGAAGATTTGAGAATGAAATGAGTGAGAGAAGACGAGAAAGAGGTCATGAAAAAGAAGGAAGGAGAATGAAGAACTGAGGGAGACATCCAGTGGAGGAAAAAAAACAGAAGAAGAAAGGAAAGAAAAGACAGAGAGAGGCTAAGGCTACTGTGGCTTTGGCCACATACTCATCCTACAGTTGTCCATCCTCGGGCAGCTGACCAGTCCATTCTGATGCCCTCTCCTCACCCACAGGTCACCATCTGCATGCGGAAGAAGGAAGGAGACTACGAGGTGCAACGTCGCCGCCTGGGCTATTACCTACCACACCTAGATCTGAGGAAACTGCAATAGCTGGACCTGCTGGTGGGCCCTGCCACCAACCTGGGTCCAACGAAGCTTGTCTGGAGCAGAAATAAACCACATTGGTCTGACACGGTCTTTTGGCCTTTTGTGACTTGGCTCTGAGTGGTTCACAGGGAACTGAGAGAGAAGTGCCTCACCTTTTGTTTTGGTACCAAAGGCACTGTTTGTGGCTTCACACTTTCTTATCCCCCAAGGGACACCAGATAGGCTGAAACTGGTACAGAAATTGCCCTTTGTATAAAGTCAATATCCCCGTGTTGTGTTGTGAGGGTTTGTTTCCATTCTTAGTCCCTCCCACCCCAGCCCTCCCCTTGACTCCCGGATAGCGATCACTTAGTCACCACCCACGTGGTTTTCTCCCTTTCCCCACCTACCACGGAAGCTCAAAACCAAAACCATACGGCCACCTTGGAGTTCACGGCCACCTTGGAGTTCACGCCAGCAGCGTAGTGGTTACGAATGGGGCTGAAAACCGCAAGTCAACAGTTGGAAACTACCAGCTGTTCTGCGGGAGAAAGAAGAGGCTTTCTTCTCCCGTAGAGATTTACAGCCTCGGAAACCCTGTACAGGGTCGCTATGGGTCAGAACCGACTTTGTGATTCTGGAGGACAAACAGAATCGTTTCCAAGGCTGCTTTATAGGAGCATTTAACCTCCATCTTTCTCCCATAGAGTGACTGCTGGATTCGAACTGCTGATCATTCGGTTAGCAACCCAATGCTTAGTCCACTATGCCACCGGGCCTCAAATTCTCCTTCCACAACTTCATTCTCTGATGTTCATGTTCACCAGGGCTGGCAGATCCATCTTCCTCAGTGACTGCTTACCCCTCACATGTCCTCCATGATGGGGAAGGTCAAGAAGGAATGGTTGTTGGGCATGGTTGGTGTTGAGTCCCATCAAGTCGGTTCCGACTCCTAACACCCCTGTATAAGGTTTCCGAGGAACAGCTGGTGAGTTTGAACCGCCAACCTTGCTTATCCTACAGGACCACACCAGGACTCCATAAGAAGGAATTGTTGCTAAGTGCAGTCAAGTCAGTTCTGACTCATAGGGTTTCTGAGGATCCATCAGATGGTGGGGTTTGAACTGCCGACCTTATGGTTTGCAGTCCAGTGCTGATCCTGCAGCGCTACACCAAATTATTCTGTTTCTTGGTTTTACATTTGGGAGCTAAAATGGCTACTTATCTGGGAAGCCTGGCTCCCAGAGTAATAATATCAATGCTGTGGGAAGACAGCGTCTGCTTTGTATGCAAAGATAATTAAAACTCGAATAGGACTCGGCGAATCTGAGGGCAAAAACAGAGTCTTCCTTTCATATTTCTCTGCAATGAATCCAGCCACAGTTACAACAGAGATTTCTCAATGCTCCAGGCTGTATTAGTCTGCCCTGGGTTTGCTGGAAGATTTTGTTATCTTCACACTTTTTGTAGAATGCCACAGCTAAAGATACCCAAAGGTTGAGAGCTAAACTTGCCCACATCCAAGCATCTTTCCTGTGAGCATCACATCCTCAAAGGAGCACTGGTGGTACTGTGGGTTAAGCATTGGACTTAACTACAAGGTCATTGGTTCAAACCCACCAACTGTTTTGCACAAGAAAGATGAGGCTGTCTTCTCCCATAAAGACTGAGTCTCAGAACCCCTAAGGGGTAGCCGGATACTGTCCTACAGGATTGCTATAAGTCAGAATCAAATCAAGGGTAATGGATGTTTTGGTTTCATATCCTTAGTTGTAAGCAAAGTCAGTCTCCCAGAATGCACTCTCTGAAGATAATAATGTTAAGTGCTGATGAGTTGGTTCCGACTCATTGTTGTTGTTAAGTACCGTGGAGTCGGTTCTGACTCATAGTGACCCTGTACAGGGTTTCCGAGGCTGTAAATCTTTACGGGAGCAGAAAGCCTCATCTCTCTCCTATGGAACAGCTGGTAGTTTTGAACTGCCGACTTTGAAGTTAGCAACCCGATTCTTAACCACCACACTACCAGAGCTCCTTACTCATAGTGACCCTGTAATAGGGTTTCTGAGGAGTGGCTGGTGAGTTTGAACTGCCGACCTTGGGGCTCAAACTGACCTTCTGGTGCCACACCTACAGCACCACATCAGGACTCTGGAGATTATAATAATGATAATAAATTCCCATTCACAATGACTCTGTATAGGGCTTCTGAGGCTGGAAATCTTTAAGGAAGCAGAAAGCCTCATCTTTCTCCTCCGAGCAGCTGGTGGGTTTGAACTGCCTACCTTGCAGTTAGCAGTCCAGTGCATATCCTATAGCAACACATCAGAGCTCATAATAATATTCAGTTATTGACTGCTTTAGATCTGCTAAGCCCCGTGGGTTGATAAACTCTACGTGCTGTATCTCAAGTTATCTCCCTCACCCTTAAAGCTTGTATTTACATTTTGTAGATAAAGACATGGTAGAGATTCCAAAATATTAATAACTTAAAAGGAAGAAAGAAAAGGACTTAGAACCTAAATGATATACCTAGCCAAAGTATCTGTCAAAGAGATAAAGACATTTTCATGCATGCAGACTGACTCAAAGTTTTACTTGCATACGTTTTCAGTAAAATAATAAAGAAGAAATGCATATTAGAATGGGAAAAAGTATCTACACTGGTATTTTTTAAACAAGACATTAAAATATGCTGGAACAGAAGTCAGGCATAACAGATAACAGTTTTGAGGATGGTACAGGATTGGGCACTATTTACATCTGATGTACATAGGGTGACTATGAATCAGAGCCACTGCACCTTACCAACAATGACTAAAATCCCAGGTGATCACCACATGAGAGAATGGAGAAAAGAAGTTTAAGTTAGAGAATTCATTTTTTGAGAGGTAGAAAGATTATACTATTTTAACATATCACTCATCAATTGTTAATTTCATCAATCAAAGATGTAAGAATAAAGAGGATTTGAATAATACAACAAGCTTCTAGTAGTTGTTAAGTGCCATCGAGTAGATTCCGACCCACAGGGACCCTGGATAGGGTTTCCGAGGAGCAGCTGGTGAGCTTGAACCGCCGCCCTTACAGTTCAAATAGCTTTACAGTCTGGTGCATTAACTCACAGCGCCACAAAGCAAAAAGACAAAGCAATTTAAAATCTCAAGCTAAGTAAGCAAGACTTACTACATTTACAATACTGACAATTTTCTCCCTTGATACACAATCCTGAAAAGAGCATGTCAGTTTGTATTAATCATGTTTGAAGTCCACATAGGTCTACAGAAAAAGGGAAAATCTGGTATTTCATTAAATGAAACTGTAATCTCTGAATTAACATGTAACAAAAACATAAATAGAGATGATGTTGTAGTTAAGTGCTGTTGAGTTGATTCCGACTCATTGCAAGCCTGGATATGGTTTCCAAGGAGCAGCTAGTGGATTTGAAAAATGGTAATTTAATATAAAGAACAAAGATTTCTTGTCTGTCACATGACACACAGTCATCTCCAAAAAATCATGTTTGTAAATCACTCAAAGGAGTTTAATAAACCAGAGTGTTTTAGATTGAATACTGTTCTAATAATAATAATAATATAAGGTCGGTAGTTCAAGTTCACTAGTCGCTCATGAGAAACCTTCCTCAGGGTCGCTATGAATCAGAACAGACTTTATGGCACTTAATAACAACAACAATGAGGTAATATTACTATAGGATTAGACACAGAAGGCAGCACAAACCTGGGAAGACAGGTAACTACCAACAAGGAAGGTGAGAAAATTAATTTCTAATCTTTAAAGCCACACATCTGTGGTGTTTTTGTTAAGACTGCAATACTAAGAAACTGAAGACAGAGTCAATGGTATAGTTTAATGTTTGGATAGTTTAAAGCAAGAAAAGATTGTGGACGCTCCAGCGATACTAAAAATCCCAATAAGGTACACAGCAGCGTTTCCTTTCATCTGCGCTGTCTTCTCTCTCTTTTCTTAATTTTCTTCAGGACATCCTTCCTGGTCCTTGAATTTCTCTGACTCACTAGCGAGTCTGTCTGCAATCAACGCTACTGCCAGTCTCTCCCTGGCCATCTGCACTTTGCTCTCCTGTCTGCTAATATCTTCATCGGTTACTATGAACGGTCTGCCAAGAAACTGTGAGACATTAACACTCGCTCCTGAGTTCATCTTTGCCAGATGTGACGATGGGCCAGGGGTGGGCATGGAGATGGCAAGAACCCCGGGCAGGGACTCACCTGTGTAACTAGGTGCAGTTTTTTGCAAAGTTTTGGCAAGATCCAAAGTATTTAAAAGTCCCCCTGCACTGCTGTAGGCCTGGAGTCCCTGAAGTCTCTTCTGCCAACAAACCTGCTGAGGCTTGTCCAACTTCTCCTCCCATTGATGGCATCTGACCTCACTGTCAGGATGGGAAGTAAATCTAGTAACTGGTTGCTTAAATATATAACTGGACATCCTCAAAGGAATTGAGATGTTTAAATCAGGTTTTGGCTTGGAGTGGGTTACACAGTCATGTTGCTTCTTCTGTGAAGTTTTGACCATCATGCTTCTTATTTTACCCTACAAAAGGTGGGATTGGATTTTTTTTTAAATGCCAATGAAGCTTGCCTTCTATAAGCAATTATCTTGACTGATTTGGGCTTCTACCTTTTCTCTCTTCTAAGTCTAAGTGTGACCTATATTCTGGGACATCACCAAGCAATCAAGCAGATGAATCAAGAACTGAAGGCTCAGCGTCAATATCTTAGGCTTTCTCCAGATCATTTCTCAAACACCATCTTCTCATTTGAAGAAAATCATACATTTTTTTTTTTTTTTTTTAATTTTTGTCCTTGTCCCTGTCTCCTGCACAAACCCTGGTGTTCTCACTAATGACACGCGTGATCTCTGGTCTTTATCTATATCCAAAACCCTGCCATTCATCTGTATTATTTTATTAGTCATTTGGTTAACCCAGTCACTAGGTTGTTCTCATAGTTCCTTTAGAACCTAAATATTATTAAACAGTGAAATTATCAGCTGTCCCACCGAAGCAACTCATACTCATGTCCCAGATATCTTCATTTAAACCAAATGCTCATGCTCAAGAATAAATCATCCAGAAAGCATATTCACTCACAACTAATTTCTGAGTTATAGCTTTTTTTTTTAACACATACACACAATAGATAAGTGTTCCTCAAGAGCCAAAGTTACCCTCCACTGTGATATCCTCACTTCACTTTCTTCCTTCTTTTCTACTCCTGTTTTTATCCATCTTGGATATCATGGTCCATGACCTTAATCATTTCCTTAGAATTGCCTCAAATCCCTTAGTATTAGTAATACCTGTCTTATAAAAATTTGGACCTGGAAGATTTCACTTAACTGCCATGTCATGGCTACCTATATAACCCCTGATCTTATATAACCCCTGAAGAAAAAATACACAACATCATATTTTGGTACCACCATAAATTTTTGGTACCACCATAAATATTTCTCAAGCTGGGGGAACTGAAGAAAAAATTCAAGCCTCGACTTTCGCTATTGAAAGATTCACTGGGCAAATTATTGAATGATGCAGAA